TGGACTAGTCGATGACCGCGTTGATGTACGTAGAATTAGTTTAAAATAAAAAATTAACTTTATTGAGTTTTAAATTTTATTGTGATTAAAATTTAAAACTGAAGTCCAATACAACAAGATTTGCTAATGACTTGTATGAAATTGTCGTTCTCGTCTGTTGTGATTTTATGTAAAATAGGCTTCATAAAAACAATTTCTTACAAGTTTTTTTTAAAAAAAAATGTCGTATTCTCAACCTGAAATTAAATCATCATTTGTGTAATCTCAAATTTACTAAAAATTATGAATTCCACTGTATCTAAATATTATTTCATGAATACATATAAAATACGAAAAATTATATAAGAATACAAAATATGCTTGGTGTTATTAACTCATGGTGTATGATATTTGGTTATTGAATCTGAATAGTTTTTACTAATTTCTTATTTTTTGGCTATTGTCTATTTAGTGGTGCATCAAGTCTTTAACTATGCTTCGTTATTATTTATGATTTATATAATATTTTTATAGTGATATATTTCAATATTTTTATTACGAAAAATACTTTAAGGTGGGTTGACTGTAATTGTAGGATTTATACTCTAATCAGTAATATCACAGTATTACATTGATCATAAAAAATTATAAATCAAATCTCATAAACAAAAATCTCATAAACCTTAAAAATTTTAGTCGTTCAAAGTTGGGTTTTGATTATTCTTGAACACATCATTAATACACCGCAAAATTTTATTCAGCCAATGTTTTCATATTATCCTTTTCTGGGAAGGATGCTCATGACAAGTTGCCTTTAATATCAGTTAATATACTATTATAAATTTTAATTTTTTAAAAATTATTCAAGAAACTAGATCAATACGTGCTCTTAAATATATATAAATCTATTTTAGAATGAACATTATTATTTAATGATACTCCTACATATTTCTTCATTTAACATTGTCAATTTCATTTCTAAACAGTTTAACCAAATATATATATATATAATTATATTATTTATGTGTTTCATTTTAATAATCTATACTTAAATAACGCGTTATATAGATATTGAAATCCTCTTTTAAACATATAATGTCCTGATAAAATCACAATAGAGTAAATTTATTTAAAGTAATGATATCTTTATATATTGATGTATGGTTACAAAAATAAAATTTTATAATGTTAAATTGATTTATTTTAATAATCTCAGGCTTTATCTTTCTATAAAAGTGTTACTTTGATAACTTATATTATAATAATTTAGTTAAAGTATTTTTGTTGTTTTCGATAAGGTTTTGATTTTATTGTTCTAAAAAGTGTTATTATCATATAATGATTTATAAACATATATTAAATATTATAATTAATATAAATAAACGCTCATTATATTAAATATAATTATAAATTAGAAGAAAGAATTAGTTAATATAAACTGAAAATTGATCTAATTATTAATTATTTTTTATATCTATATTTATTTAGAAAAATAGAGAATATGTGGAATAGAATTTACTGCAAAATTTTATTTAAAAGATTAAATTATAAATTATTTATTTGTGATCAAGAAGAAAATACATAATTAAATGTGTGATTTATTGATTTTTTAATATTCTTTTGAATTATTTATACATATTCTATATAGTATATAAAATTTAAATTAATATAAATTGTTTAGTAATAAATATTTCATTTTAAATAAAAATTAAACACAAATTTAATGTTAAGACTATCAACAAGAATAAACCAAAAATAATATAAAAATAAAAGACAAATTAATTTGATCTAATTGATAGACAAATTAAGACACATTTCGGTCTTATTCTATTTATTTGTGTATGAAGATTTTATTTTTTTCAAATTCAAATAATTAATTAAAATATCAATACATTGGAAAAGAAATCTAACAATAACAAAAATTAACATATTAGATGAAAAATAACGAAAATAAGTTATTTAAATGAAATTTATTAACATATATTAGTTTATTATAGATTAAATTGAGTTTAATGTAAACTTTTATATAAATGGAAAAAGTACTGTATTATAATTTTTTCTAAAAAATAAAATATTAGAAGACTTATCTAGATTATGCCTATGTTGTCAAAAACTTACATCTTTCAGTTTTCGATGTATTATATTTATAATAAATTTTTAAAAACTTAAGTAAAAACTGTTTGGTTAATTTTGATTTAGATAAATCAGTTGGTTCTCAGTTTTATAAATTTGGCCACAAAAGATGTAAAAACTTAAAAAATGGTTTTGCTTTTAGGTTTGTGGAGTGTGGGTTTTTTGTGTTCACTAACCACTAAGCCATCACCCACCTTACCATTTTTTTACCACCGTCGTGTTGTGCGATCACCATCCCATTTCCACTGCCACGCTGCACTGACACTCGCACACTGTCCACCACCGAGCGCCACAACCCACCATTGGCCTACTTACCACCAGCATCCACCACCTCACCCAGACCCCCTTCCACACCACGACCATACCACACGACCACGCCACTACCTGTAGCCATACCGCTACCACCACAGCTCATCCTACCGCGCCACCACTTTACCACCTACTCTCCCATCCAGCCACCGCTCACCGATTCCACCACCACTTTCTACCAATCCACCTACCACCCTATCCGCCACCAGTTCCCCATCACGCGCTACTACCATTCCATTCCGCCCCACACACCCTACCACTACCCGCCACCTACACTCGCACCAACGTCTACACACATCTCCACCACACCTGTCACCTCGCCACCAGACTCCACCTGTCCACACCCGTACTACTTCCACTCCGCTACCATCCTGCACACATACCCCGCACAACTCTGCCACCACCTCACCGCACCAGTCACCACTACCACCCACCTGCCATCCCCCCTTACACCACCCACTCCACCACCACCACCTACCATCCGCCAACCCATACTGACCACTCAGCCAGGACCACGCCACTCCACTTGCACCACTACCACATACCAGTCTGCCACCTAGCCACCACGCATCCCATCCACCATATCCACCAGCCTACCATCCACCCACCTCACCACCATTCATCAGCCACCATCACCCGGCTTTACCACCACCCACACCCGCCATGTGTCACCCCCTACCCACGTCAGCCCATCCACCACCCACCTGGCTAACCGATCCACCATCTTTACCACCCGTCACTGCTTCACACGTCTTTCCGCCGCCACCACTCGGTCACTTGCCACACTTTCCACCATGTCTTCCGCCCCATCGCCACCCACCCGCCACTTGCCACCATTTTTCAGCCACCGTCTTTCTGCCACCATCACCCACCATCTGCCACCATTTTCTACCCACCGTCTTCCGCCACCACCACCCGCTATCATTTTCTCCCATCGTCTTCCGCCGCCACCACTCTCACCCCCACCACCGCCACCACTTGCATTTCTCGCTCTTTTTATATTTTTAAATTTTTTTTAAAACATTTTGTCTAAACCAAACGCGTTTTAGTTTATGTTTTTCTAAAATAAACAAAAAAAAAATCAATTTATAAAATTTTTACAAATATAAATGAAAACGTAAACGCAAAATTATAATAAAATTAGTTATTATAATTAAAATTGGAGTTATGTAAGATTTTATATTAAATGGAAAAAGTATGTTTATGTAATTTTTTTTAAAAAAAATAATATTGAGACACTTATTAGTGATTACTGCCGTTTGGTAAATACTTACATTTTTAGTTTCAAGTTATATTTAAAAAATATTTAAAAAACTCAAATAAAAACTTATTTTTTAAATTTTGATTTATAAATCAGTGGTTTCATTTATAAATTTGGCCAAAAAAATTAAAACTCAACAAAAATTATTTTTCGGTTTTGAGTTTTTCTTTTTTTTTTTACCACCTAAACACTAAGCCACCACCCTGCCACCATTTTCTACCAACCATCTCCACCCCACCGACACTATCCTCCACACCACCTGCCACTACCACTCACCAGCCCACGGGACGGCCACCACCCACTAGCCACCAACCACCCACACCACAGCCACCTACCACTGGACCACCCACTGTCATTCCACCACCATGACCACACACACCCCGCCACCACCACCACCACTACGCACCACTCACTACCCACCTGCACTCCACCGCGCACCCACACCACCTCCCGCCACCTACCTGCCACCCACCACACACCCACTTGTCACCACATATCACCACTTCACCACCTGCCAACTCCACTGCCACTCACGCCGTACTACCAATCCTATCCGCTCCGCTATGACCAACTCACCAACCACACTCCACGATCCATCACCGGACGCCACCAACTAGCCACCACCACCCCCACCACACCACCACCACCACCACCACCACGCACCACCAACCAGCCACCAGCCACCCTCGCCACCACCAGCCACTACCACCACCACACCACCCACTGCCACCATTCACCCACCCATCCACCACCACCATCATCACCCAACCCCACCTGCTCACCACCACTCACCACCCACCCTTGCATCACCATCCACCCCCACCCGTCACCGCTGTTCACGCACGTCTTTCTTGCCACACCGTCACTTGCTCACCACTTTCCACACTGTCATCCGCCACATCGCCCAACCCACCCGACACTTGCCACCATTTTCCAGCCACCGCTTCTGCACCATCACCCACCGTTTTTTTTCTGCCACTATTTTCCACCACCGTCTTCCGCCACCACCACCGCCATCATTTTCTCACCTCGTCTTCCGCCGCCACCACTCGTCATACCACCTGCCACTCTTGTCATTTCTCGCTCTTTTTATATTTTTTAATTTT